CTGTAAAATGGGTCGGGGGTGTAACATGGACCCATGGATGCTGCAAACTGCTGAGACGTTTTCCTGAGAAGGCTTATCTGAAATCACTCTGGACACAGCATCCTGGTGCCTGTGCAAATCCTCTCAGGCCTCTCGGTGCATCTGCGAGGCGCTGTGAATGGTCCCTCCGTAGTGGCCCTCAAGAAGCCACAGGCACCCACCAGTGCCACAGCAACCCCAGGGTGCCAGATGACTTTGTCCCTCCTGGACGCACTCCTGCCCTGCACTCTCTGCCCCAGCCCCACCTGCCCGGCCCACACCCACCGCAGGCTCTCATTTGGGTTTGGCTTAGCTTTGTCCATGGTGCCCAGAAGACCTGTGCCAGTCCATTTTCACATTGCTATAAAAGGACGCCCGAGGCTGGGTAAAGTGTAAAGAAAGAAGGTTTAACACCGGACATGGTGGCTCATGCCTGCAACCCCACCACTTTGGGAGGCTGAGGTGGGCGGATCACGAGGTCAGGAGATGGAGACCATCCTGGCTAACATGGTGAAATCCTGTCTCTACTGAAAAGACAAAAAAAAATTAGTCAGGTGTGCCAGTAGTCCCAGCGACTCGGGAGGCTGAGGTAGGAGAGTCACTTGAACGTGGGGGGCAGAGGTTGCAGTGAGCCAAGATTAGGCCACTGCACTCCAGCCTGGATGACAGAGCGAGACTCTGTCTCAAAAAAATCAAAATAGAAAAAGAAAAGAAAGGTTTAACTGGCTCACGGCGCTTCAGGCTGCACAGGAAGCCTGGCTCCTGGTGACGCCTCAGGAAGCTTCCGTGGGTGGTGGAATGTGAAAGGAGCCCGCGCGTCACAGGGTGAGACCTGGAGCAAAAGGGGACAAGTACCAGGCTCTTTAAACCGCAGGTAAAGCCCAGCCCAGTCCATGCCTCCATTTAGTCCTTGTGAGACCCTGAGCAAGGACGCAGCCCCTGACTGCTGGTCCACGGAGCTATGGGTGATGAATGTGAGCCGCTGTGGCTGAATTAGGGTCACTGGTTACCCACGATAGAGAACTAACATGCCCAGTGCCCTCCCCATCCTCCAGTGTCTATGCAAAGCACACCCGGGTTCAACCTCACATTTGTTTGAAATACCAGGTGATTTCTGTTTCCCAACTGGATCAATACAGAAGCAGCCATCAAATTCAACCTTGAACAGTAAAAGGGCATCTCTCACTGCCTGCAGGAGGCCTCCTCCCCGCACACACGGTGGCTGCTTGCTTCTCTCCAAGGAAGCTTCTTGGGGCCAAAGAGTTCTGCTCCCAAGAGAATTGCCCTCATGTGGCTCTGACATCCACCTTCTTGCCAATTCTAACTGGTGTGGTGTGCTAAGCCTTATGCTTCCCAGTATATGAAACTATGGCCCTCCCCTCCATGAGAAAGTCCTCTTGGGCTGAGCCCCACAGGCCCCCGGTGTCTCCTGGCTGGTAAAAGCATGGAGCTCTCTGTACCCATCCGTTTAAAGAGCCTGTGTCTACACTGTTTTTATTCTGGGTTAGATTAGACCTGAGGATGCCTGTACCTCGCTTCCGTCCAAACCCTCCCACTCTCTGGATGCTAAAGATACATTCTGGGGCCTGCTTCACCTCCACAGACCAGGATCCAGCTCTGCTGAGCCCCCCACAAAACCCCAGAAGCTCTGCAGGCATGCAGGGTGGAAGGGCTGCCTATCTGACCCAGAAGGGGCTTTTGCTTTTGGGGGCCTCAGGCTGCACAGATTTCGTTCTGCTCGGGTTGTAGGGATCATCAGAGCCCCCCAAGAGAGTTGCTCCCTGTGGCTCAGGACCCAGAGAGAGAACAGCCTCCATTTCATCCTGCCTTCAAAACTTCAGTGCTCCCAACCCCAGAGCACTCTTGATGCAGGGAAGATGAGTCCAGAAATTGGGGCTTAGTACAGGAGGGCTTTTGGCTTCACCCAGGAAGGAATTCAAGAGCAAGTTGGTGGTATTAGACAGCAGCTTTTATTGAAACAGCAGTGCACAGCAGCAACAGAGGATACCCTTATGGAGCAGGAATACCCCATAGGCAGTGAGCTGAGTAGCAGCTCAGAGGCAGTTCTGCCAACATATTTATACCCACTTTTAATTATATGCAAATTAAGGGGCAGGTTATTTACATGCTTCTAGAAAAGGGGTAGTAACTTTCAGGTCATTGCCATGGAAAAGGGCAATATTTTCCAGGTGTTACCATGGAATGGCAAACTCACATGGCACTGGTGGGTGTGTCTTATGGAGGGGTGTTTTTGCCACTCTCCTGTATCAGCTAGTCTACAATCTGGTCCAGAGTTTCAGCCTTGCCTCAGGAGTCACGTCCCACCTCCTATCTGAGTCTGGCCACAGCCCTAGCTAGGCAGATGATCGCAATGCCAGCCTAAAGCCCTGCAGTTAGGCCCTCCTGTGTTCTGCCTGGGGCACCCAGGAAGAGGATGGGGCGCACTAGGAGGGGCCATGGTGTGTGGAATCAATACTCAGGCACTCTAGGTTGAAGTCCTAATCCCAGTACCTGTGAATATGACCTTATATTCACAATTTTATGGTGGGAAGAAGACTTGAAAAGGCTTTTCTCCAAAGAAGATACACAAATTGCATGTGAAAAGATGCTCAATGTTACTAGCCATTGAGCTAGTAACAAAGATACTTATATGGAAATAATGTCTTTGCAGATGATCAAGTTAAGAGTAAATTGTTAGGGCCAGCCTTAATCCACTATGATCATGATTTTAAAAAGGGGAAAATTGGCTAGGCATGATGGCTCACACCTGTAATCCCAGCACTTTGGGAAGCCAAGGCAGGTAGATCACGAGGTCAGGAGTTCAAGACCAGCGTGACCAACACGGTGAAACCCCATCTCTACCAAAAATACAAAAAGTAGCAGGGTGCAGTGGTATGCACCTGTAATCCCAGCTACTCAGAAGGCTGAGGCAGGAGAATTGCTTGAACCTGGGAGAGGGAGGTTGCAGTGAGCTGAGATCTGCTCTGTGTCAACAGGGCTATGCTCCTGCTGTAAAGCCGAGATTGCACCACTGTACTCCAGCCTGGGCGACAGACTGAGACTTCGTCTCAAAAAAAAAAAAAAAAAACTTGGTGGGGGCGGGATTTGGAAACAAATGCACACAGGGAAAAAGCCATTTAAAGACTGGAGCTTTAGCGAGGCACGGTGGCTCACACCAGTAATTCCAATACTTTAGGAGGCCAAGGCAGGTGGATCACTTGATGTCAGTAGTTTGAGATCAACCTGGCCAACATAGCAAAACACCGTCTCTACTAAAAATACAAAAACTAGCCAGGTGTGGTAGCAGGCAACTGTCACCCCAGCTACTCTAGAGGCTGAGTCAGGAGAATCGCTTGAAACTGGGAGGTGAGACGGAGGTTGCATTGAGCCAAGATTGTGCCACTGCACTCCAGCCTGGGCAACAAGAGCAAAAGTCTGTCTCAAAAACAAAACAAAAAAGATTGGAGCTGTGCTGTCACAAGCCAAGAAACTAACAGAAGCTGAAGAGAGGCCTGAAACTGATCCTTCCTTAGTGCCTTCAGAGGGAGCTAGCCCTGCTGAGACAGAGCAGAAATGGGACTCAGCCCACCCTTACTAACGTGTTGTTCCATACATGCCCACTGACCACCAGATTTTGCAGCACCACTTTCCAGGTGCCGTACTAGCTGACTAGACATTGCCAACTGTCTGAGAAAAAATAAGATAAGCATCATCCCACAATAAGTCTCACTCAAGGGAGTTGAGTCTATCACCTGCTCGTGCACAAGGCCAGGAGAATGACCCTGGCCTTATGATAATACTAAAGTCCCAACCCAGGGAGGGGCTTATTGCCATTTTCTAATTACACAATGTATGTGTTAACATGATTCTTTTTTTTTTTTATTTTTGAGACGGAGTTTTGCTCTTGTTACCCAGGCTGGAGTGCAATGGCGTGATCTCGGCTCACCGCAACCTCCGCCTCCTGGGTTCAGGCAATTCTCCTGCCTCAGCCTCCCGAGTAGCTGGGATTACAGGCACGCACCACCATGCCCAGCTAATTTTGTGTATTTTTAGTAGAGACGGGGTTTCACCATGTTGACTGGGATGGTCTCGATCTGTTGACCTCGTGATCCACCCACCTCGGCCTCCCAAAGTGCTGGGATTAGACTTGAGCCACCGTGCCCAGCCAACATGATTCTTTACTGCATCTGCTCACCACCCCCATATGTGCAATGACACCCACCTAACCCATAAATTGTGCATGTCACCCTCTTTAAGGCACCACAATGCATTCCTCTTGCAGAACCAGCCAGGAATCCTTCCTCCTGCACTGTCTCTCTCTCTTCTGCCCAGCCTTTTGGGGCATAAGCCTTAATAAAGCCTTGTCTGGGAAACTCGCTTGGCCTTTTGTCAACTTCTGTTTCATGGGAGTCTAAGAACACGTGATTTGGAACACTGCCAACATCTTTATTTCCGACTTCTGGACTTCCAAGCTGCGAGACAACAAATCTCTGTTGTTCCAAGCTGCCCATTTTGTGGCACTTTGTTACGGCAACCCTGGGAAACAAACGCAGGCACATTCTGCTCCATCTGCTACTCTCTCCAGACCATAGCTGCTCCCCAAGCTGTGTCCCTATGAGAGGCTGAGGGACACAGGCTGCCATCAGTGGTGTACGGTCAGTTCCAGACTCGACCGTCTGGGAGCTACACCCTCAGCTCTCAGTTTCCTGGAGCAAGAGGGAGAAGGAGGACAAGAAGGAAAGAGGGCGTTGGCCTCCCAGGACCTGTCCCTGAGCTTCTACCCTGCTGTCCCTGAAGCTGCCCCTGAACCTCCACCCTGCGCTCAGCCCAAAGCTGTCCCTAAGCCTCCACCCTGCTGTTCCCAGAAGTGTCATGGAGCCTCCACTGTGCTAGCTCTAGAGCCCAGATAGCCCAGGGCTGGTCAAACCCCAACCCTCACTCCTCCTCTGGCCCCTCCTTCCAGTCATCAATACTTTGCAACAACCATCAAGCCCCTTTTAATCTCTAGAAATGAGGAGCAGGAGAACACTGGGACCAGCTCCAGCCTCCATCCAGACAGGACCTTTGACCACTGCTAGGGGCCCCTTCTCAGGAGGTTCAGTCCCAGACGAGGGCTCCAGAGACTTCAGTCCGTTTTCCCAAATGGACATGATGCATCTGGTGAGTCGGGGACCTAGAACGTCCAGGACCGAGGCTTGTTGAAGATGGGAGGGAGCAACATGCCCTGGAGGTCCTCATGCAGCCCATGCCTCTGGCAGTGACCAGCCAGCATCCAGGCACCTTCTGGCTGTGTCTCCAGGCCCTGATGCTCACAGGAAAGGCCACGGGCCAGGGTCAGGATGGGCCCAGAGCTCTGCACATTTCTAGGGAAGGTTGAGGGGTGGTATCCCCCATAGCAGTCCAAGACACCACAGTAGTAACTGCTACTGCTACTGCCCTCTGAGTCTGGGGGAGCTGGCCCGGTGGGGTACATGGGGGTCCAGTCCTCCTGTGGCAGATAGGCAAGTGGCTGTGCCCTCCCCTCCATACACCCTGCTGGCAGCATATCCTCTGAGCTCAGGTTCCCCCGGACACTGGTCCCAGTGTTCTCCTGCTCCTCCTCCAAGCACACGGATTTCCAAGGATACACTGGACCACAGGTGAGCAGTGCGATGACCTCCTGGATGCAGGGTTCTGAGGCTCCTCGTGGGGTGCCAGCACAGTCTTGGTTCAGCAGCACGCCGGTCCTGTGGGTCCCCATCCAAGTCTGGAATAGAGTGCGGGAGGAGGGAAGGGCTCAGGCAGCACGTTCAGAGCTCATCCAAGGACCAGCTGCCTCCTTTCTGGCAAGCCCAGCCTCCCTCCTCCTCCAGGAAGCCCTCCTGAAGTCCACACCCAGAGGCCAAGCAGCACCTGTGTCTTGAACATTCTGTCTTTTCTCCATGTGCCAGCCCAGCCTCGACATGGGACCCTGAGTCCCTTCAGGCCCTCGTGACTCCCCCAGCACAGGGCCTGGTGCTCACAACAGCCTGAACCAAGGTACAGATGGTGATATCTTCCCAGTATAGAGCCAACGCCTGACAGCATGTGACTCAGGGCCTCTCAGCAGCTACAGAAACTGGGCATTCCTACCTGACACACACATCCACACACACACACAGGAGTCGCTGTCAGGACTGGTGACTTTCAAAGCACTTGGCTAAGACTGGCAGAACTGGATCCTTCTGTGGGGCCACAGGAGGCTCCCCACATCCAAAAAGAAGCTGTTCCCTTGATGTGACAAGGAGCGTCCAGCCCATGCATCACACACACCACACCCTCCACCATTGCACTACTCTCTGGAGACCAACCTATGGCACCAGATCCCTGCCTGAGGGTCTAAATAACCCCTAGCAGGTGCCCTGGTTCTCTGGAAAAGGGCTGATGCCTGCAACAGGATGACAGTCCAGGTGACCATCACAATCTGTGCCCTGCTCAGCCTTGTCCTCAGCTGCCCAGGTTCTTGACAGTCACACCTAACCACCTTAGGGAAAGAGGGGGACTCTGAAAAGAGTCAGGTGCCAGTTCATGGTTCAAATTCTGTTTTTGGACAAAAATCTTGAAAACTAGGCTCCTTATTGAGAGAGAAAAGGATTTTTCCACACAGTAAGCAGGAGCCACAGTGTGGAGGGGACATCCTTGCCACAGAGGGTCCAGGGATGGCCGAGGGCATCCAGGAGGGAAGATCCTGGAGAAGAGGGGTCAGCTTGGCACAGACCCCAGAGAGGGGCCCTCACTGCGTCTTGTCCTTTGCCCGAAATGAGGAGTCTGAGGGGGAAACCAAGAGACCACTCACTGGAGCCCTCCCTCCCCGCCTCCTCCCACCCAGGGGGCATAAACTTATAGCCCAGCAGGGATGGGAGGGCCTGATGCAACCTCCAAGTTGCTCACTGGTTCCTCAGTTGTGGGAGCCCGACATAGGGGGAAGGGAGGGAAGTGCAGAGCCCACTGCATTGATGGGGACCAGGGGACCAGGCAGAGCAGGAGCCCAGAGTCAGTGAGAGCCCCAATGGCAGTGCATACACCACAGACCCTTCCCCACAGACACCTTCGTAGAAGGAGGAGGTGAGGCACATAGTGGATGCAGACAGGTACAAACGAAAGGACACAGACATATAAGTCACGAGAAATTTACATTTTTTCCATCAACAACGGAGCTGGAGACATGAGAACAAAAAGACATCAGCAAAGGGAAATAAAGCTAGTTTTTCACCATTTGAGACACGGTATAAATTGAAATTCACTTAATAGACAAAAAGGGATCCAAGCATTGACGAGGCTCCCAAATTGGCCGCCAATCCTCATGAAAGCCAACATCTTGGGCAGGCCAGCCTTCTAGTCAACCCCTGCCCCCCCACACCCTGCTGTGGTCTCCGCACACACCTGGAAGTTACCATTGTGCACATTGTAGAGGGGCTGGAAGAACGCCGCTGGAGAGGGCACGTTCCGGTAGAAGGTTCTCTTCACCCTGAGGCCAAGAGAGGCCAGTCAGAGGCCTATGGCAACCCAAGGGGCCTGAGGTCACTGCAGAGGCTGAGCTTCCTTCCACCAGCAGGAGGCCCACCCACCTCATCCCTGCCACTGCCTCTCTCCCATCTCATCACATCCCAACCCACTCTCAGGTCAGGACCCATCTGGGCCTCCTTGCCTAATGGCCACATGGAACTGATTTATGCCGAGGCACAGGTCCTTCAGAACAGAGAGTTACTGGCTGTGTCCTTAGTCCACAGAGGGAGCCAGAACCTCCAGGAACCCGTCTTAGCCATCAGCAGAAGGTCTGCAGCTCCCACGCCACCCAGTGTCGCCCTGAGCACCAGATTTGCTGCTGAGGATCCACTGACTCTCCCACAAGGATGTCATCTGGGGCTCCAACCCAGCAGGTCCAAATAGACCTTGCCAACTTCCCTGCAAGGCTGTCCCCATTATCCCCACCTCAGGGGTCACCCACTCATATCTCATCCAGCCACATGTCCCCTCTATTTCTCCTCCTAAGACCCTGCAATTCCCTCTCCTTTGCTCTATCTCCACTTCTTATGCTGGCTCAAGCCAAATCATCTCCCGGCGGGCACCCCATTGGCCCACATTGGCCTCCAGCAGGTCTCCCATGTCCCCTTGCCCAGCGATCCATTCCTCAAAAGATAAACTACATTGTATCTCAGTTTCACACTCTCCTTTGCTCCAAGGAGAAGCCAAGTGCCCTCAAAAGATAAACTAGGTTGTATCACAGTTTCACACTTTCCTTTGCCCCAAGGAGAAGCCAAATGCCCTCCCGCTTGGCCCCACCCAACACCCCTCTCCCCACACCCTCTTCCTCACATCTGCTGCTTGACATGGCCCCAGCACCCTCTCTTGAAACCTGACATGTGGTGCATGAAGCATGATGGTTTTTTATTTTGTTTTTTTTTTTTTTGAGACGGAGTTTCGCTCTTGTTACCTAGGCTGGAGTGCAATGGCACTATCTCGGCTCACTGCAACCTCTGCCTCCTGGGTTCAGGCAATTCTCCTGCCTCACCCTCCCAAGTAGCTGGGATTACAAGCACGTGCCACCATGCCCAGCTAAGTTTTTGTATTTTTTTTTAGTAGAGACGGGGTTTCACCATGTTGACCAGGATGGTCTCGCTCTCTTGACCTCGTGATCCACCCGCCTCGGCCTCCCAAAGTGCTGGAATTACAGGCGTGAGCCACCACGCCCGGCCAGCATGATGGTTTATTAGAAGGAGAGCCCTTGTCCAACTTGTTCTCTAACGCATCTGCCAGGGTGAGAACAGGGTCCTGTGCACACCAGATGCCCCAAATGTCCTTTCATAGAATGTCTGAACGGATGAACAAACAAAGCTCCTCCAGAGGTAGGAGACCAGGACCTTGGGCTCCTGATCTCCGTGACTATGGGTTTGGTTCGGACCAAGCTGTCCTTATCTTCAGCCTCTGCCACAGATCCCCCTTCCCTTCTCTTCCCTGACAACTTGAGAACCCTCTTCTGGCCCATGGCGAAGACTTGAAAAGCCCACCCCACTGTTAACCTCGACAGTGGAGAGGGGAGGGGAGGAACCAGACAGGGGTGGCCCTTGATACCCCACCCTCCACACACTCACACATGCACATAGAGATACATCTGCACACATGCACTAAGACATGTACACCCTTATCCTTTCACACAAGTAAACACACACACACACACACACACACATCAGCTACCTACCTGGGCAACAGCTTGAACAGAAGGTACATCAGGCCAGTCAGCAGGAGAAAGACAGACACAACAAGGATGTTGTCTGGGCGCCCCGAGGGTGGGATCAGAGGGCCTATGGGCAGGAAGGGCCCAGGGTTGTGAGCAGCCTCAGTGCCAGGAGGCTCCCCACAAACCTACATGGCAAAGGTGCACCCTTTAGTGCCCTGGGCCATAGTGGAAGGTTTGTGATGGGCCTTAGAGGTTTGTGTCACTTGCTGAAGGACCTTGTATGAGCCACACTCCTGGGCCTCACTCTTCCCATCTTCCACATGGTGGGTCATAAGGTCAATGGGACCTCTCAGCACTGCAGTGTACAAGGGTCAGCCCGGCTCTCATTAAGGACACTGAGGTCACGTCCAGCCTCCATGCAGGAGCACCATCCCCGGTGTGTAGCCCTGCCAACCTCAGTCCTAACAGGAGTCACTGACTACATGTTCCCAGGAAGCCCCAGAGTTGGAAGGTGTTTGTTTCCTCCCTGCAGACCTCAGACCTTCAGAGGAAGGGGGTCAACTAGGGCATGGCTGCCTCAGGGAGGGGCTTCCAGGAGGTTGAAAGGGTGCAGGGGTGAGGTGAACCGGGGAGAAGACACCCAGCCCAGACTCTGTAAGTGCAGCAGCCACACCAGTGCCCACCTTGTCTCTGGGGAGCCTGGAAGCACACAGGCTGGCTCCACTCGCTCCACTGGCCTGTATAACTCTCCTCCTCTGCCACGTCATCCTCTGTCGTGGCCATCTGGACACGCAGCCTGGCCTCATGGATAAAGCCAGGGTCCAGCTCGAAGGCTTCAAGTATAAGCCAAGTCACCCCAACAATGTGGTCCCTGTGCTGGGCCCGCTGTGGGGGTGGAGACGGTTAGCAGGTGCTGAAGGTGGGGCTGCAACGTTCAGCCCTCGAGAATACACACGTGTATTATATGCTCATATAACACACACATAAACACACCTGTGTTAACACACAGGCACGCTCACCACATTCACGTGCACACACACAGAGAAGGCATACTTTCACACTCATACTCACAGACAGACATAGCTGCATTTGCCCCAAATACACATATGCACACACAAGCAAACATATCTACGGGGACACTTTCACACTCATCACAGTTGCATACACACTCATCCACATAGGCATGCCCATGTGCACACTCACATATACAAACACAAGGCACAGGCACACTCATATGTACACTTACATATAAACACACAAACATGGGTGCACAAACCTGTGTGTGTGCACACTTATATGTGTGCACGCACAAATACATACATGCACACTCACTACCCTTATGTGCACACACTCACACACAGGCACACTCACCCTAACTCCCATACACACACACAAAGCATACACATGTGCATGTCAGTATATTTGTATGTACACACACACCTAGCTCGAGTTCCTCCCCTCCTCATCACTGCAAGTTGACATCTCCCTGTGTAGAGTGGGGAGTCTGTCCTGGACTGCTGTTCCCAGGAGAGAGGACTCCAGAGAAAACCAGCCAAAGGGTTACCTCCCAGGCCTCTTCCTCCTTCTTGAAGGCCAGCTCATAGCTGAGAAGTGTGGTCATCGGCTCCAAGGCAGGACTGATGATCCAGGTCAGGATGCAGTGGCCAGAGCTGACATTGCTCTTCAAGTCAGAGGGTGGATCCAGCTTCACTGGAACAGAGTGAATCCATGTGAGGCTGAAGATCCACGGGTCTGGGTCTGTCAGTCAGCACACCCAAGACTGGGGATCTGAAAGATTCCCAAGGGACATGGTCAACGCCTTCTCCGACCAGAAACCTCACTGGGAGACTGGTCCAGTAAAGCTCCAGGCAGGACAGGACAGCAATCACTTCCACTGACCTCTGCAGCGAGATTAGGTAGTGTTTCTAAATATTGCTTCTCTTTCCTTCACAGTCAACTACTGGAAGTTCTTCCCAGCATATTATGGGAGTCCTTCATGGTATGACTGAAAAGCATTTCGCATGACTTAAATGGCAGCCCCTTCCCCAACTAGCAGCCCTGCATCTTTATTCCCTGGCAAAACCCTGCCCCTGCAGTAACCACGTGGGCCCTCCCCTCCCAGGGGCAAACCCGCCCCCAGCCCTGGATCTCACTTGGCAGGGACTGAGAACACTCATGGGCCACAGGGGTCACAGGCTGCAGGGCCTTGCCCCCAGCCTCCAGGCAGCCAGGATATTCTTGCCAAGGGGTCCCACCCTGGACCTATAGCCGCTGCTCACCGTGTCTCCGGGGCAGGTACTGCGGATCCACCAGGCTGACCTGCTCCCTCCCAGACACGCAGCGGTGGAAAGTGATGGTGAAATTGTCGGATGGCAGAATCACTGCCTCGGGTGGCAGCACTACAGTGCACTGACTGCCCTGCAAGATGCACTTATGTGTGCCACCAGGAGCCTGGTTGCTGGAAAGGGCATGTATCAGAAACACGGGGCTGCCACACTGTCCTGGTGCAGCTGCTGCAATCCTGGCGATCTCACCCTCATCCCTGTCCAGGTGGGCATGGCCCTCCATCCTCACCTGGTGAAGAGGAGCCAGGGGCTGGAGCCCTGGGCCAGCTCTGGGGCAGACCAGTGGCAATCAATCCTGAGAATGTTGTTGGTGAGGCAGATGAAGGTTCCAGTCCTTGGCCCTGGAGACAATGATCATTGGGAACCCACAGTAAGTGCTTCAGGGCAGAGCTGAGCTGGAGGGTTGGGGGATCTGATAGCTGACACCCTCACAGGGCAGTCACCAGTGAATGATCCCAGAATCTATTCAGGAAAGCACTGGGAGGCCTGGGAAGTGATGAGCTCTGACTCATGGTACACGGGCCAGTTAGACCCAGAGAGGTGGCAAGAGGGTTAAGGAAGGGAGACTAAGGTTGATCCAGGGACCGAAGGGTGGGAGGTAAAGGTAGGGAGACTAGGGACTGAGGTCCAGGCTGACCCCTAAATGACATGCCCCAGCACAGTTTGGGCCAGACTTTTCCCTGGGGGCCCGACAGAGGACAACCCAGTCCCCCAAAACATGCCCCACTTCTCCACCCACCTCACAGAGACACTAGTGCCCAGCCCTCACCTCGTCCTTCCCCTGGGACAGAGACTCCCGAGCAGACACAGGTGCAGACGCAGATGCAGGCCAGGAGCCAGGTGCCCATGTCTTGCCTCAGGGCCTCACTCTCCAAGGTCCAGCCTGCAAGGGACTGGGCTGAGGGCCCTGTGTGAGCCATCCCTCTCTGGAGGGTTGCTCCCCATGAATTGCTCCCCAGCAGAGTGCTCAGTGGGTCCCCACTTGCACTCACACAGTGTCCTGTGAAAGACACTGGGCACCATTGCCCAGGCTTTACTAATAAACAACTGAAGCTCGGAAAAGCCACTTGACCCAGCCAAAAAGACTCATGGCTGCAGTGTGTAAGATGCACCCTCAAACTTAGCCCCTGTACTCTGACTCAGCTATGTCTCCACTGCTGCATCAGCCAGCCCATCCCCCATCCTTGGGTCCAGACCCCATCCTGCAGGGGAGTCAGGGTTGAGGGAACTGGTCACTCACATTCACAGGCAAGGAGCTGAGTCCTGAGAAGGGGAAATGACTTGACCACGGTCACACAGACAACCTCTACACAATATTTTTTTTTTGAAATGGAGTCTCCCTCTGTTGCCCAGGCTGCAGTGCAGTGGCACAATCTCGCCTCACTGCAACCTCTGCCTTCCCGGTTCAAGTGATTCTCCTGCCTTGGCCTCCCAGGTAGCTGGGATTACAGGCGTCTGCCACCACTCTCAGTTAATTTTTTTTGTATTTTAAGTAGAGACAGGGTTTCACCATGTTGGCCAGGCTGGTTTTGAACTCCTGACCTCAAGGAATCCACCTGCCTCAACCTCAACCTTGGAATTACAGGTATGAGCCACTGTGCCCAGCCTCTATGCATTCTCTCTCCTTTTTGTCTTCTTAAATAAAGACCCATCCCAGGGTTCTGCCCCAGGAAGGTGGACAAGAATGGCAATGGGGTATCTGTGCAACAGGTGGCACTTCCTGAACTCTGTGGTATCCCTGTTCCAAGGTGGCTGCCAAGGAGAGCACCACCAGAAGGGCAAAGCCCCCCTTGCTGGAGTGTGAGGCCTGAGCCCCAGGATCCCCAGGGGAGCCAGAGGTTGGCTGGAGATGAGGAGCTGGGTGTCAGGAAGTACTTGGGTGTGGGAAGGCTGCTGACACCCTATCACCCAATTTGCAGCTCCAGATGGTACACCGATAGGCCCTAGGCAGGAAGCAGGGCCAGCCTGGTTATACAAAACTGATTAGTGATAAGGAGGAGGAAAAAAAACAGACATGCATCAGACTACAGCACGCATACCCTTAAGAAACCTGCACACCCTCAATGGGCAGTAACCCCACTACATGCCACTCCCGGCAGTGTATCCAGGTACCCACAGGACAGTCCTCTGTTAAGACTGATGATCAGGAAGTCTCACCCTTCCCTAGAATGGAGCGTGCAGCCTGGAACCACAAGCCGCAGCAGCATGAAACACCGTGGCAAGTTCTCTGCAGCAGTGTCTGTCCCTTCTTGCAGCAGTTACCGGAAAGGTGGGAATGGAGAAGACAGTCAGCCAGCTCTTGTGATATGCGAGGGCAGGGTTGGAATGATTACCAGGACCTGAAGGAAGCACAGGCACAACAGCCACACCTGAGAGCTGACCTAGGCCCCAGGAAGGATGACCACTACACCAGCAGTGCAGAAACACCCACATCTGTGTAGAATCAGGCCAGGCCAGCCATAGGCTAACCCAGAAGCAGATGACTTGAGAGCGAGGAGTGGGATGGCTCCAAGCTCAGCAGGCCTCATTTCTAGACAGGGAAGAGGGATGGTAGGGCAGGATCCACATGTGACACCTGAGAGCTACAAAGCAAGATGAGAGAGTTAAGTACGATGGCAAGGACAGCTGTCTGAGGGGAAGGTCTCTACTGAAAACTGACATCCGTACCTGGTGAGCTGAGCAGGGCAGGGTCGCCCTCCTACGGATGAGGAACCTGAAGCTCAGAGACCTGGGACCTGCCCAATACCTGGCTCCTGACACCTCTGTTCTTGGCACATTCCCACCAGCTTCTACACAAGCCTCTGAACTTGCCGAGGGAAGTGCCTGTGAGGTGACCCTCAGTGCATACCCCCACAGAAGGCACCACAATGCTTTATAAATTGGGTGGCTGCAGGCTGAGCTGCCTTCCTCCATCCTTGACCACAGGGCCAGTCAGTGTGGGCAGGTGCACGCACCCCAACCCACATGCTCCCTGCTCCTGGATGTCACCAGGGAGGCCTCACCACAGCTCAAACAACACCTGGTGGCAGGATGGTTGTGAGAGCAGGAGGGAAACCCAGTGTCTGCAACCTGGGACAGAGCTGCCCCTGACACCCCCAGTCCTGCTGGGGAGCCTGGCTGACATCACTGCCCGGCACAGCCTCTCCCACACTGGGTCAGTCCATGGTCACTTTTTGGTCTCTTTTGAGATCCACATCTGTTCCATGGCCTCAGTGTCAAGCTCTGGGCCAGATGGCTACCGAGCCTCATGGCCTGCCTGCCCTGGTTCCCTGGGCCACTATGAAGCTGTGGGCTGCCCTGCAGCTGGAACCCTGCCTCAGACCACAGGCTCTGCCACACCCAGAGGAGGGCCTTCAGACAGGCTCAGCCCTTCACCCTCCCTGGCCGTCATCCCCTGAGCACTCACCTAACACCAAGCAGAATCTGAGACCAGAGCAGGCCACCATCATGGAGGCTGGCTAGGTAGCCCTGGGCTCCTCTGTGCCTTGAAGCACATTCTCCAGGTTGGCCTTATATAATTACACAGAGACCATTATATACATATTTTTGAGCTGGCATCTCGCTCTGTCACCCAGGCTGGAGTGCAGTGGCATGATCTCAGCTGACTGCTACCTCCGCCTCCCGAGTTCAAGGGACCCTCCTGCTTCACCCTCCCAAGTAGCTGAGATTACAGGCATGTGTCACCACATGTGACTAATTTTTGTATTTTTTTTTTTGAGACAGAATCTCACTCCATCACCAGGTGCCAGGCTGGAGTACAATGGCGTGACCTCAGCTCACTGAAACCTCCACCTCCTGTGTTCAAGCAATTCTCCTGCCTCAGCCTCCCAAGTAGCTGGGACTACAGGCTCATGCCACCAAGCCCAGCTAATTTTTTTTTTTGTATTTTTAGCAGAGAAAGGGTTTCACCATGTTGGCCAGGATGGTCTCGATCTCTTGACCTTGTGATCCACCCACCTCGGCCTCCCAAAGTGCTGGGATTACAAGCGTGAGCCACCGCACCGGCCTAATTTTTGTATTTTTAGTAGAGACAGGGTTTCACCATGTTGGTCAGGCTAGTCTCAAACTTTTGGCCTCAAGTGATCCACCCATTTTGGCCTCCCAAAGTGCTGGGATGAGAGGCATGAGCCAACACACCTGATCCGATTTTGTCTTTTTTAATGGGGGCAAGGAAGGATATCCTGGTTCTTCTGGCCCGTTCAGAAGGCTGGCAGTCATTGAGGTGGATAGGATGGAAGTTGCTAACTTGTCCAGCAAGGTCTTCTGTCAGCTGGGGAAAGAGTAAGAAATGCAGACCCCAGTACCCTAGAAGCAGCTGGAGCCTGGGCTGGAAATGGGAGCAGGGGCCAGCTCTCTCTCTGGACCACATGAGGATTTCCTCTGGCACAGTGGGAATCCCCAGTGCCGTTGGGCAGAGTGTGTGAGGTGCTCACAGGGGTGGGGATGAGCAGGAGGCGGGGGGAATGGGGGCGGAAAGGCCAGCTGGAGGCAAGTACAGATACAACGGACACCTCACACAGAAGGTGCAGGGAAGGCAGGGTGGGAGAGAGATAGCACCAAGAAGCATTTTCCAAACACTTTCAGAGAAGAGAATGAGGAGCAGTGCTGCATATGTGAGGCAGATGTCAGTGGGAACGCCAGGCCACAGCTCAGGAAGAAGTCAGGGCTGGACTTGGCACTACAGAGGTGTTGGGTGGACAAGGGCACAGACCCAGGGCAGAGGGGAGCAAGCGAGGGTGGGTGGGCAGAGCACACAGAGGCATGCTGTTCTGCTACCCACTCTCCCCTCTGCCAGCTTTCTTCCCCATCATGGGCCTCGTCCTTCATGCTCTCCCCCATTCCACGGTCAGCCTCCGCAGCTGGACGGAACCCCTGAGACTGAGCACAGCCACCTCTCGTGCACAGCCTTGAACTGACAGGACCCAAGGGTTGGGCAGTGGCCATGGGCCAGGGCTGGAGTAAAGGTACTGGCACAGATTCCCGGAGTCTGCAGGTGAGATGGAAAAATGATGCCCATCCTCTTCCTGCTGTCTTTGTGAAGAGGTACCTGTGTGGTCCCTGCTCTGCCCAACACGCTCTTCCTTTCTGCCCCACTGCAGTTGAAGGTCTTCACTGTGTGATGTCCCTACATGAGGCTCCTTGAGGCAAGACCCTGGCTGATCATGTTGCATACTCTGCCCCCCCTCTCAACTGTTTGGTCAATGTTTTCCAACCCCTCCACTCTGGCAGAGGCTGCGCTTGCTTCTGGATGCTGTTCATGTTGTGAGTTTCCAGAAGCAGGGCTCTGGGATGCTACTTAAAGATGTGCTGTGAGGATACCTACTCTTGGTAGTAATCTACCTCATGGAGCTAGACTCTGGAAAGAGGGTGAGCCCAGAACAGCATAAGTCACAGGAAAAGCAGGAGGCAGGGAGGGCAGAGGAGGATTCCAGCAGGGCTCACATCCTCTGGGCTATCTATACCCCAGAAAACTCCGAGGGCGATGCTCTTTCCAAAACAAACCCTCTCCTCCCCTTCCTCTGCTTGGCTGGGTTGACCCTCCCTCTGGAATTCCACCCTCACCTGCTGCCCCACACACAGCTCCAGTGGGGTAACCCCATCCTCCTGGATCCTCTTCTGCCCTAAAACAACCAAATTCCTGGGGGAGTTGCTAGAGGCTTTCCCGGCCCTGGGCCTAGACCTCAGCTCCACCCTGTGGCCATGACAACTGAAGCCCAAGTATGCCCATTCATTCTCACCCCCACAAAGGTCAGCTCAATCATTGAAGAAGCAGAGTTCCTTCCATAATTAGAAATTCTGCCTGACAAGCACAATGCCCTTCCCTCCATCCAGTTGGAGCGTGGCCACACTGGCCACAGCAGAACCCATGACCCCTACAGGACTGGAAATCAGTTTGTAATCCTTGAGGTCAGTGCCGCAAGTTTTGCTATCGTTAAGACATACCCAAGGCCAGGACATCAGAGGAGGTCAAGCTCGGGTGGGGCTCCAAAATGACATGCTTCCACAGTGGCTCCCTGGGCCCATGGATGGAGGGCCACTTGTCCCTCTCTACCTCCTGAATTTCATGCTGACTTGAGAGGCTGAGAAGCCCAAAGCACAGACTCACCTTCCCAGATGCATCTGCCCAGTCCCATCACAAATCTGAGGCACCCCCAACCTGGAGGTGACTTGTCACCCAACCGTCTCTGGGTGCACAGCAATGACCCTCAGCCTGATTCACGAGATAACTGCAGCAGTTGGTGACGTGAGCCTTGCACGACAAGTTCACACAGGCCGCCCACATCTGAAACCACAAGCGCATTACAGAGCTGCTCCCCCAGGCAGAGCTGAGAAGTGTCTGTCACTGCTAATCTTGTAAGCCAGGGAACTGTGAGACATGACAGCCTTTCAGTCCCCATGACACTGAGGACTGACTGCCAGACATAGAGTTCAGTGATTTCTCTACTGACTGGCAATTGAGTGTCCACTGTGTTCTTCCCAAGAAACACCACTGAGATGCATCAAACTGGCCCCAGGAGGTGAGGACCCTGTGCAGGTGCAGAGCAGTGCCCTTCTCTCCACCTACAGTTTGCCAAAAGCAGGGGTGCAGGTTCTCCTTCCACCAGCTAAGGCAAACTGTGAACATCAGGGGTGGGGAGAATGTTACACATAAATGTAATGCAGACTCATTTGAAGAAAAATGATACAGAAGAAAATTTTTTTAACAGGGTCCCCTTTCACCTTCCCCCAGAAGTAGCCACTGTAAGCAGTTAGGAACAAATCCATTCAGACACTTCTGCTTTTTCTTTTTTTCTTTTATTTTTATTTTTATTTTGACCGAGTCTCAGTCTGTCACCCAGGCTGGAGTGCAGTGGTGCGATCTGAGCTCACTGCAACCACTGCTCCAGGGTTCAAATTATTCTCCTGAGTCAGCTCCCGAGTAGCTGGGATTCCAGGCACCCACCACCAAGCCCTGCTAATTTGTGTGTGTGTGTGTGTGTGTGTGTGTTTGAGACGGAGTTTCGCTCTTGTTACCCAGGCTGGAGTGCAATGGTGCGATCTCGGCTCACGGCAACCTCCGCCTCCTGGGTTCAGGCAATTCTTCTGCCTCAGCTTCCTGAGTAGCTGGGATTACAGGCACATGCCACCGTGCCCAGCTAATTTTTTGTATTTTTAGTAGAGACGGGGATTCACCATGTTGACCGGGATGGTCTCGATATCCTAACCTCATGATCCACCCTCTTCAGCCTCCCGAAGTGCTGGGATTACAGGCTTGAGCCACCGCGCCCGGCCAGCATGCTGTTTTCAAAGTCCACTCAAGTTGTAACATACTTCGGTACTTCAATTATTTTTCTTTGTGATTAAATATAAATACACATAACATAATATTCCATTGTGTGGATGGACCATCTTGTGTTTATTCATCTGCTGATGGACACTTATATGGCTTTCCCCTTTTGGCTATGCTGCCATGAACATGGATCTGCAAACATCTGTTCAAGTACATACTTCGAATTCCTTTGAGTAGATACCCAGAAATGAAATTGCTGGGTCATATGTTAACTCCATGTTTAATTTACACAGTGGCTGCACCATTTTACTTTCCTCGTTCCTATTTTTGGATGAATGATATCTCAATTTATTTTATGTTATTTTGAAACAGAGACTCGCTCTGTTGCCCAGGCTGGAATGCAGTGGCACAATCTTGGCTCACTGCAGCCTCTGCCTCCTGGGTTCAAGCGATTCTCCTGCTTCAGCCTCCTGAGTAGTTGGGACTACAGGCATGCGCCACCACACCCTGGGTGCATGATATTCATTGTTGAGACTGTGTGTTCTGTTATACTTCTCTGGAGAGTGTTTTAAATTTTTTTTTAATTTTGTTTTTGTTTGTTTGTTTATTATTTTAGCAGGCAGCAAACTTTGTCCTGAGGGGAACAGCTAAACTTCTATTCAGGTTGTTTAGCCTTAGCTGGGCTCCTTGGAGTTAACCCTGACATGTATAGTTCAGGGATCATCCAGAGATTTGGGTAGAATTTAGATGCAGAACTTGGGGTTCTCTTCTCTGGTTTTTCTTTTGAGAATTTCCTTCATCCCTATCTAGCTCTTGTGGTCTCTGCTTCTGAGGTAAATGATATGGTTAGTGTGGTCTGCTGGTCTTGAGTTAGTAAATTCTGGCTTCAGCAAGGCGAAGGCACCCTGACAGTAAGAAAGAAACTATTGTCCGGGCGGGGTGGCTCATGACTGTGATCCCAGCACTTTGGGAGGCCGAGGCGGGTGGATCACGAGGTCAAGAGATCGAGACCATCCAGGTCAACATGGTGAAACCCCCGTCTCTACTAAAAATACAAAAAATTAGCTGGGCACAGTGGCGCGTGCCTGTAGTCCCAGCTACTCGGGAGGCTGAGGCAGGAGAATTGCCTGAACCCAGGAGGCGGAGGTTGTGGTGAGCCGAGATCGCGCCATTGCACTCCAGCCTGGGTAACAAGAGCGAAACTCTGTCTCAAAACAAAAAAAAAAAAAAAAAAGAAAGAAAGAAAAAGAAAAAGAAAACAGCATGCTTAGGGAAAGAAGCTGGACACAAAAGATCACATATTGTATAACTCTATTTATCTATAATACCCCAAACTGGCAAATCTATAGACACTTCCTGTGAAGTCGATGAGTGACTGCCAAGCATGGGGGAATGGGGAGTGCCTTCTTAATGGGAACTGAGTTTTCTTCTGAGGTAATGAAAATGCTCTGGAGCTAGCTAGATGGTTGCACAACACTTCAAATGCACTAAATTCCACTGAATTAGATACTTACAGATGGTTAAAAAAGGATAACATTTTATCAAATAAATTCACCTCAGTAATAAACTCGTTGTTTTTTATTTCCCAGTGCCTTGGACTTGTCCCAAAGGACATGGAGCCAAATTGCAGCTTTCATGAGCCCTGACTAATCCACTTATATCTGGGACCAAAGCCCAAGGTCATTAGAGAAATAGTTCTTTCTTTCTTTCTTTCTTTTTTTTTTTTTTTTTTGAGACGGAGTTTCGCTCTCGTTACCCAGGCTGGAGTGCAATGGCGCGATCTCGGCTCACCGCAACCTCCGCCTCCTGGGTTCAGCCAATTCTCCTGCCTCAGCCTCCCGAGTAGCTGGGACTACAGGCATGAACCACCATGCCCAGCTAATTTTTTTTTTTAAGTAGAAACTAGGTTTCAACATTTTGACCAGGATGGTCTCGATCTCTTGACCTCGTGATCCATCCACCTCGGCCTCCCAAAGTGCTGGGATTACAGGTGTGAGCCACCGTGCCCGGCCAAGAAATAGTTCTTTCTTATAAACCAGGGGCTTTCACATTTGAACAGCAAAGCACCAAATGGAACGTTGAACTTCACCTCAGAGATAATCACCAGATGTGCGAGAGGTTTTGATCCCTAATGCTCTTCCCTCAAAAAGTACGTGCATGTTATAGCCTCTGTGTTTTCAGGTTTGCAGAATTCATCTCACTTACTCATAAAGCTCTTGGACAGTTTACCCTGTGATAGAGACAAATAATATAACGCTAGGTGAGGCCATGACCCAAGTCCATGACCCAAGAGCACAGAGTGATTGCGGGAGTAGCTGGGGGATCTGAACTAAGATACTGCTGAGTTCCCATCACATTTATAGAACATGATTAGGGATTCTTGATTTCAACTTTCAAGGTTAGGCTGGCATTTCAGTTGACATTTATATATATTCCCGTGTAAAAATATGTATGAGCATTTTTAATACGTGAATTTAATTTGCTAAGGGTTTCAGGTAGTCCCTCATTCCTGTCTAACTCCACCTGAGGCATGGCCAGGTTGACAGTACTGCTGAGGAGCAGGTTTCCTTGCATAAGAAAAGGAAATACCTACCAAGAAATGATATACTGATATGAGGGTTTTCTTGCCAGACTAGAGTTTCGGATAAAGGTAACTCAGTTTGTCCCTGTCTCCATTGGGTATATATCCAAAGGACTATAAATCGTTCTACTATAAGGACACATGCACACGAATGTTCATTGCAGCACTGTTTACAACAGCAAAGACCTGGAACCAACCCAAATGCCTGTGGATGATAGACTGGACTGGGAAAATGTGGCACATATACACCATGGAATATTATGCAGCAACCAAAAATGATGAGTTCGTGTCCTTTGTAGGGACGTGGATGAATCTGGAGAACGTCATTCTCAGCAAACTGACACAAGAACAGAAAATGAAATACTGCATATTCTCATTCATAGGCGGGTGATGAAAAATGAGAACACATGGACACAGGGAAGGGAGTACTACACTCTGGGGTCTATTGGGGAAAATAGGGGAGGGACAGTGGGGAGGGGGGAGCTGGGGAGGGACAGCCTGCGGAGAAATGCCAAATGTGGGTGAAGGGGAGGAAGGCAGAAAAACACACTGCCATGTGTGTACCTATGCAAATGTCTTGCATGTTCTGCACATGTACCCCAAAACCTAAAATCCAATAAAAAATAAAAAAAAAAAATTTGCCATCCAGCAGGAAGCGATAGAGGGAGCAATTGGGTTCATGGGGTACATGAATATATGCTTGCCCGAAGTCCCACACAGGAGCTCTGACATAACTACACTAGCTCATTGCATTTCAATACTTAAATATTAATAATTTATCTGCTGGCCGGGCGCAGTGGCTCAAGCCTGTAATCCCAGCACTTTGGGAGGCCGAGGCGGGTGGATCACGAGGTCAAGAGATCGAGACCATCCTGGTCAACATAGTGAAACCCCTTCTCTACTAAAATTACAAAAATTAGCTGGGCGTGGTGGCGCGTGCCTGTAATCCCAGCTGCTCTGGAGGCTGAGGCAGGAGAATTGCCTGAACCCAGGAGGCGGAGGTTGCAGTGAGCCGAGATCGCGCCATGGCACTCCAGCCTGGGTAACGAAAGTGAAACTCCGTCTAAAATAATAATAAAAAAAATAATAATAATTTATCTGCTTAAATATCTAAGCTTACTTTACTAACTGTCCGTTGTATAGACAAAGATGTTTGCAAGTATTTCTATACGTTGTCAAGATACAGACTAGGACTTTTGTTAGTTAACTGTATCTATTGATTACATAAACGTTAAATGTTTCAACCTGAAATCCCTTGCAACTGCTAGCATGGGGCTAGGGAATACAAGGTGTCTGTCCAGTAAATTCTTATAAAATTGCAATAATCAGTCGTTCCATTTGTCTTCCCTTCAGCACTGAAGTTTTATTTTTCTTTATTAATCATCCCTAACATGGACTTTGATTCCATTTAACTATTTCCCTGATTCATAAATTGAGAATGTTTCTCACAGATGACCTAACA